GCCACATCAAATGCACCATTGGTGTTGGACCAAAATTCCACCAACGAATGTGATGTAGCTTGGTTGACCGAACAGTCGTACGTCTTCTCGCTTTCTTCTCTAACAAATGCACCATTAATAAATGGATCAATCGGAAACAACGTCTTCCATCCAATAAATGCCCGAGAATGTGACGTTTCATCTGAAGCTTCAGTGAATACACACACACATGTAAAGATTCCAAGGCGGGGTGGTGGAACACCGTTGCGTATTCCCCGGCCACCACGCAAGCCGGCGCCATCATCATGCAAAGGGTCTTCTAGTGATCCACCAAACTGAACAGTTGTGAATTTCCTTCAATGTCGTACTAATTATATGTTTCCTTACTTTGTGACCATTGAGCCCTACAATTATTCGCGCATTTTGTAATGTGTTCATATTTGTATTAATGAAATCCCGCTCGTTATGAATCCTCGTTTTAGGTTGGCTTGTTTCATATACATGTTTATGAAAGTAAAACCGATAGTAGATCCATGTATGGAATGGTTTAGACACAAGTAGGTATTCATTTTTCTGCAGTGTAAAATTTACGTGAAAACGTAAATTTTAAGTACCTTCCATATTGACCAAAGAAAATTTTAATACATTGGATTCATGTAATCCCCCATTATATGCCATGCACTACATCTTACTTCCCAACAAACACACAAGATTGACTTAACAAAAGTACTTATATGTAATAGCCAACCTAATTATAAAATGAAAGCATACTAATGACACAATGAAAATACACACTTTACAAAAGATACAAACCAACAACATATAGTCGGGAGCAAATAACCAAAAGAAGTTGTAAGACCGTCCCTAAAAGTTGTTGTCACCTACACGGAGTCCACGCATGAGTCGACATCCGACACGTCATCCATTACATCATCATCGGCCTGTCCATCATTGAGCGGATGTAACGAAAGTTGGTTTTCATGAATTGGGCCAGCAACATCCTTCTCAACTTCAAATTCATCCTCCATGGCATCTTCGGACCACACATCAGACATAGAATCATCTAGCCAAATTGGATAGTCGTTATCTGCAACAGGGTTAGCTTGGAGATTCACATCAGCAGCACCGCGTACGTCCCACAGCTGCAGACAATGGTTGTATCATTTGAAGCCATTCCAACGAAAGAAAACCTCTAAATCGCTCTCCTGCATGTTTTGGACACGGTTATTTTTTTGTTGGCAAGCAAGCTTATAACGAGGCAATTACAAAATGTTGTTAACAAACCAATATACAATTACCTCTCCAACGACGTTCCAATACTCCCTGTTGACGCTAACCAAACCTCCGTCATCATGCACTCGAACTCCCAGCGTAGTCATGTAGCGAAGGAATTGGCGGTAATGCCCCTGAAGACAATGGATTTTCTCCCGCACCTGGATCCACGTAAAGTCCTTTTGCATTTTTCCGGATAACTGACGGGAAATGCCGAACCATAGGGTATTTAGGACTGATGGCTTGTCTACGTCCTCTGTTTCAGCACACTTTTGGAAGAACAGACGATAACAAACCTTCTCTTCCTCCTCGGTCCACCCCTCCAACCTGAAGCCACGCGCAATGTACCCTAAGCTCATCCTCCGATCCATGAGAGTCAAGCAAAAATTTGTTATGTGAGAAGACACGGACCAAAACAAAAGAAAAAACATGTATTAATATTTAAAGTTCACAATTTGATCACCTTTAATGGAATCTGCTATTAATCACGTACAAACCAAATTGTATTTCTGAAAATGGAGATGGTGTTAAAGTGGCATGCAAAAAGCTTGTATGTATAGCGGATGGTGAGGGTCATTAAATCACCTATTTACACCATATTAATTGAGTTTGTAACTATCAAGTCATCAGAAGTCATTAAATGGAATTCATGATTAATCCTGAGTTAGCTTGAGTGTGGACGTTTTTTCTCATCAATTATCAGCCGAGCAGTAAATGTGAGTAGTTAAGGTGATAGTCATGTTATGTTCATTGTGCTACAGGAAAAAAAAAAAAATGAAAATGAGGTTCTTGTCTTGGTTAATTTGACAAACCCATTTTATAGCCGACCCGTAAAATTTTGTTAAGATTGTGCGTAAGAACTTCCATTTCAACAATCAAGTTCTTCTATAAACTATAGTTAATTATATAACAATCTAAAGTAATATATTTGTTAGTAGGTTTTGAAAAAAATGAAACAATGATACAATAAACATGTTGATGTTTATTGTATTTATGTAAATTAAGTTACAAAACCTATTTGTTTATTGTATTTATGTAAATTAAGTTACAAAACCTATCCTTATATAACACATGCAAATCGCACAAGTAGCTAGATATTAAATCTAAATTATATAACAATAAATTGTTTTGTAATATATTATTTTAAAATTTTATGTACTTTATGTCCATGAATTTTTGTAACAAAAATCTCTGTACACTCACGGGGCGTCGCCAGAAATATTTTATACCCTGGCTACTACAATCAAGTTCTTATGACGTGAACTTTGCTCAAAAAGTGAGTCCTTGACTCATTCGTATAATAAAACACATATAAATGAAACTTTATTTCTTGATTACACTCGATTTATTTAATGACCGGATCCAAACATGATAACTTATTTCTTTCAAATGTTATACGCTCAATAAATTAAGACCGGGCTGGAGCCCGGGTGTGCCCACCCCTATCTACGCCCTTGTGTATAGTACGAAAGGTGTACTACTGTAACGTTCAAAATATAAAATAATGACCATATGCATCCTAATAACTAATTTGTATCATATGCTAATTTCACAAATACCATTAAAGTGAAGGTTTATATTTTTTTGGCTCTAGTACATATGCGCATTTGCATAATATTTATTGAAATAACAAGCAATGGTCCATTTGTGTAGTAAAGTGTACGCTTTTTAACCCCTGCCTCATACCGTGGCATGCAAAATATGGAAAACCCGAAAAAGTAAGGCAATAGTCAACGACAGTCAAGATGGTGGGGCTCGATCTTACTATGGACGAATCACAAATTCACGTTGACGTGTTAATTTCCATTTTAACTTTATCTCTTACAAAAATTTGTCGCCCAGCCCTTTCAACGTGTATTAAAATTTGCCCGGTCCTTTACCTGTCTTCATTTTTATTACAGATCTGAAGATCGTATCTGTAGAGAGCGAGTCGATCCCAGCGACCCATGAAGGATTGTGGAAGCAAGCGACGACGGATCGTGGAAGGCATTTCATCGGTCGATTTCAGAGGTACTTATTTTCGGACGGTGGGAATGTCATTTCTTTAAAATGTACACATAAAATTGTTCTTAACTGGTATTTTCAAGTAAAAATTCAGTGTTTGTTTAGGGATTTTTGGTTTTATGGTATTAAGGTTACTTGAATGTTATATTGTGTAGATAGAAAACAGAATCAGTGAAACACGGTTCGAAGGTAAAGGGCAGATGTTTGGGATTTAGGGCTTCTATATTAATTTGGAGTCTTTGGTTTTGGGAATCTATGTATGTGAAAGGTTGAAATGAAAAAAGGACTTTACCTAATAAAAAATATTTATTGTCTCACATTTACATGTGCCATATTTGTTTTTCAATGAAGCTTCTGGCTATTCTGCAGTTGGAGCCTTTAACTTGCCCTTCGTTGTATTATGTTCTCTGAAAATTGAAGCATCTCAACTGTATGATTGATGGATAGTGTACTAATCATAACTGTGGCAATCCAAATGCATCGGTAAAGTAGAACATTACACGTCATCGGAGTATATGTCTTACTTGATTTGTTGGTATATTATTTCCCTCTTTCTCTTCGTCCATATTTATGTCTTTACTATATTATTTCCCACTTTTTTTCGTCGTCCAACAGAATATGTCATTCATTCGAAAATAGTGTGTATCTCCAACACTTATTTAAGTTATATTTTGAAGTATGTCTCTGCATACTGTTTATAATAACATTCTAAAACCGAATAACTGTTTATCTTCTCTTTAAGCTTTGAAGATGTCTCAGACTTCAAGCAATGCGAAATTTGGGAGACCTACTAGACTAAAGTATGAAGACAAATTATGTGAACATTGTGGAATCTGACTTGCAATTATGATAGCTGGTTCCCGAAGTCTGAATTTTCAGAAACTCTATTACGTCTGTGATAAAGATCGGTTTAGTGGCTGGGCTAATCCAATAAATGAAGACGAGGTCTGCATAAGACAAGAAGTTAACACGACCGACAAAGTTGCAGTTCATCGTGAAAGCTACAAAGATGTGAAATTAAAGACTAAATTGGAAGTCATTTTTAATGTAATGATTGTCATATTGGTACTTCTTATTGTAGTACTTCTTATTATTGTCATTAAATAAAAACAATGCGTCTATGTACAAGTTGGACCCAACTGTTTGTTACCTCATTAAGAAATCAAAGGCTATTTTTATTGTTGGAACTTGACTATAAGGGTGAATTTAACATCCAACTTATGGGCAGGGTTATTGTGATATTGAGGCTGGTAAATTGATGAACCTATGTACATTCGTAGTGCATATTACATAGGGAGAAACATTGAAGAGGTACGAAAGTTGTATATGTGAAATAAGGTGTGTGACCGTGAAACTACAAACGAAAGCCAATGAAAGCATTCTTAAGTAGGTACATATAGGATGCCAAACTTGTTCCTTGTTTGAAGGGAAAACTCTACTGCGCAAACGTTTATATTTGTCGAGTATTCCGTTGCACAAAATTAAGATAATATGCAAAGTTCTACAAACATGAACAATATAACGACACAATAGTATACGGAAGTGCTGTAGTAACCCAAAAAAGAAATTAACATGATCATAATCATGAAGAATTACATTGTCATCCCACCTTAATGACGTCCGCATACATAACATATTACTACAGACAAACAACAAAGTTGACAGTTCAAAAGGACAAAGTTCACAGTGCAAAAAGGACAAAGGCAGGTACCCGACAACATACAAAATAACATGGACATGTCGAATTACATTGACCACTTAGACCCGCTCAATATTTGCTGCACCATCGACCTTTTTGCATCATCGTCCAAGCTGAAAAAAAGTTCCATCTCGTCAACATTTTTGCTCAAGTACCGCGCCACCCCTACCCTTTCATCCGTTGTTAGGTTTGAAATGTTTTTTAGTGCATCATACACGGCGATGCGCTGCTCTTTGGCATCAACTTGGTAACCAACGCGTGTAGACAGTTCCGAGAGACAATTGTTTGTCTCTTGGCAAACAGATGAAAGTAGTCCTAATATTGTATCCTCGGCTTCAACGTTACGCTTTCTTTTTCCATCACGCTTAGACTTACCGGATGCACTACTCTCACCTGCTTGAGCCGAAAAGGAGTCAAGGTTAGTCTGAGGGTAATCATATTGACCCGGGACTGTGTCTTCAGTGAGAATATGGCTTGGTACTTCGACGTTAGTATCATGTAAGACATCATTGACCGCCTCAGTGAAACCTAGTGCCCCCTCTCCTGTTGCCCGGTCCTTCCCGAAAATTTCAACCCAATCCGCATAATATGGCCAACTTTTATAACACAGTGATTTGACCTTTGGGTGAGCCTAAAATAATGAAAAGAAAACGAAAACTAATGATTGCTCCTTTAAAATTAGTATTCTTTTCATATATCATGAAATGTGTAAATTAATTTTTTACCGTGTTATAGGCTTGCCACACCGCCTCCTCCTTCACAGTAATCATTTTCCCAGTGTCATTCCATTCAAGCCCCGAAGTACCAAGCATGTCTGCAGCTAAACCATAATTTTTTTTTCCAAATCGTAATCTTTGATGATATGTGAGGTTTGGCTTTTATGGTAGTACCTGGAAATATTTGTCGAATATGTTGTTCCAATATGCCAGTGTACCCATTGCGAAATCCATTGTCGCATTTCAAACCGCGCGTGACAAGATCCCGCAAACCATCAATCAATGCTCTTTCTTCAGCTGCATTCCAAACTCGGCGTTGTGCACTGGGCTGCGAATTGCACCCCCCACTGCCAGTCGATTCCATGCGTAACTAATGACCAAAGACATAAAGAAAGAATGGTAAGGTGATAGAGTAACATGCTTTCCCAAAACAAGGCGAAATAACCATAATTAATACGAAAAAAAATAAAGATTAATGTGCTTTATTTTGAGGACACAAACATAGTGAAAAAACTGGAATTAATAGTACACAAGCAATTCAAACCATCGTTCACATTAAGTTTTTTCCCACAAACAAATACCAAACATGAAGAGATCATCTATATATGTTTTGTGGTACATAAAAAATAAAATTGTCTTAAATGCCCATCATTGTAAGCTGAAGTGTTCAACTACGACCGTCCCATTCATTAAACATTGACATAGCCAACTCTTCCCGCATATTTGTCCATTCGGTGCTTGGCTCAACAACGTCAACATAGTCAAAGGGATTTTCTGCCTCGGGGTTTGTCTGATGATTCATCGTATTGGCCGCCTCATTTTCCATTGGGTCCACATGCTGTTGGGTTCTGTTAGGAACGTCAAACAACATGCACGGCATTGAACTTTATCGAAA